AGAGGTAGGCAGTGTAATGGTGATCACTGTGTACTATGACCCAAGTGTTTGTCCCCTTCCAACCCTGTGGGAAACTAGGGGAAGTTCCAGGCTCCTGACTTTAGGCTGAGCCATCCCAGCCTTTGCAGCCATTCACGAAGTGAACCAGTGGAAGGAATTCTCCCTCCATCTGTTGGTCTCTTCCTCTCTTGCTATAACACTGTCATTCACATTTTTTTGTAGGGTCAGCAGCAACACGGAAAGCCCAAAACCATTTTTGGAGGCACAGTGATTTCCTTCTTAACTGAATTGCCTGGGCTCTGGGTCTTGGGAGCCTGATGGGAGGATGAGGACCAGTAAAATGGAAACAGAAAGGGAAATGTCCCCTAAAGAATAAGGGCAGAAGAGGTGTCTGGCTAGTGTTCACTTGGATTCTGAGCTTAGGTGAAGTCCATGGGCCAGAAACCCATGCCTACTGGGATAGAGTGTGCATGAATATAACTGTGTTTTGAGAATACAGGATTTATATGGAGACACATCTCAAAGCATCCATGACAAAAGAGTATAAATGCTTTCTAATATGAAGAGGCCTCCATTCCTTTCTGATGTCAGGCCAGGTTGTGGCATTCAAGCCCCAGCACCTATGGGTGTCTCCTGGGCCTTGATCATTTTCCTTCTATTTAGTAGGGGTTTCTGTGCCAACCATGTCCAGTTAGGTGCCTACTAGTACTAGGGAGTCTTTCTAATCCAGCACTGTGTAAATCCAGCATCTGTTCGAATTTTGACTGAAGCAGCTTCGGCTTCTCACAGTCTCCTTCACAGACTGCATGAGGCTCTGAGCTTTGTGAACCAGCATCTCTGTGGCCTGCTCAGACTCCTGGTCGCTGATGGGAGTCCGGCCCAGCATGGTAGCCTTCACTGTGGACAGGATTTTGAGCTGGGTGCTTATAGTTGGGATTCGTTCACACACCTGTAAGAGGTTGGTTCTAATCCGCTTATCTGTGCACTGCTTGGCAACCTCCTTGGCCAACCGAGTCACCTCATCCGAGGCCTTGGCGATGTCCTTGGCACACTGAATGAGTGCCCGCTTGGTACCACTGCCTCCTCTCACAAGCCGAGACATCTCAGCCATCAGCAGAGCCATGCGTTTGGCTGCTGCAATGATGTCATTGTCCTTGTTGGACCATTTGCGAGATTCATCATGGAGCTGCCAGGCAACCATCATCATTGTCTGGTAAATCACCTCCCCGGCTTTCTGCGGCAGCTAAAATAAAATACTTAAAATAACTTGAAGATTAATTATACATATGATTAGGAGCCTATTTCCTAATGTTGAAAGATCTCAAGCAACTGAATCCCAAGGGAAGCAATCAATTCCTTAAATGCAGTGATGATAAGGTGGAGACAGGAGCAGCACTGGAATGAGCCTGAGGGATTCCTGCCTCCCGTGTCAGGATGCTGAGTGCTGTGTCCTAGTTTGGTTCCAGTGTCAGATTCCTGCCTAAGCCCCTCTGGGAGGCTGTTGTGAAGTTCCAGTACTCCCACATGGATACCTGGACAGAATTCCAAGCACCTGGCTGTCACCTGACCTAACTGAAGCTTTTGTAGCCATCTGGGAAGTGAGCCAGGAGTTAGATCACTGTCAGTCTCAGTCTCTCTGTGGTTTTGGACAAATACATACAGACAAGGTATTAATAAAATGATAAAGTTTAAAATTTATATCATATCTATAAAGTTAAAAAGAAATATAAAGGCAAACATAAAAAATGCACAGGTGCCTGGGGGACATTGAATGGCATTGTCTCTGGGGAGTACATCCAGTGATGACTCCACGCCATGAGTGGATTCAATGTCAGGGCCTCATGGAGGAAGCTGAGGTCTCCAGTGCCCTGAACAGGACCACACGGAATGCTGGGAGCAGCCTTCTGGGGGTGGATGTGGTTTGTCTTCACAGCATCAGTGCTGAGCATGGCCCCAACGTAACAGCACTGACAAGGTGTACACGGTCTGGATGTTTACATGAAAAGTATGGAATAACCAGACTCTGATGTCAGATGCAAAGTCCTTGTAAAACTACTGAAGGAAACTTAGGGCAAAGTCTCCCTGATGTTGGTCTGGCCATGATTTCCCTTTCAGATCTTCAAAATTCAAGAGACCTAAGAAAACCTTTTCAGATGATGCTGCATAACTACAGAGCTTCTGCATTACAGACTGACTGAGAAGTAAGCAGCCTACACACAGATTGGAAGTGACTATTCTCATATCAAATGTATGATCAATAACCTGTATCCCAAAGGAATAAAAAGGAACTATCTGTATGAGCTGTGTTTAGAACTGGTTCTGAGTCTTCTGCAGTCTCAAAATAACTGTGATGCACAATTGGCTTCTTCATCCTGATCGACAGGTTCTGTGTCATCAGGCCTACAATGGGTATAGAAGCAAACCTCTCTGATTGTGTGTGGCTCAGTGTTGCTATGGATTCATTCTGGTGGGGGCAAGAGGCGCGGAGTCACCACACAGACCCTGGGAGTTGGGTGAAAGCAGGCCAGAGGCGAGCAGCCTGCAGACTCATTTGTTTCAGTAGGTACAGCAGCTTATATAGCTGAGGCAGCCAATCTGGTCAAGGGGCAGTTTATGCCTAACCAATCACAGCCTGTTGCCAGGCAGTATCTGAAGCCATCCAATCATACCCTGTTGCCAGGCAGGCTCCGTTGCCAGGTGGCATTGAAGCCATGCCTGAGTAACTGATGCTTGCTTGCCAGCAGCCATCTAAGCATGGCCTTCTCATTCCACCACAGCTCAGTGTGTCCCAAAGGCGTTGTGTTTTAGGTGTGCTCCCAGGGAGACCATGGGAGAAAAGATGGGAGCTCTGGGAGTGAGGCCTAGTGGGATTTGTTCATTCCTGGGGAATCTGCTATGGAGGAGATCACAGTAAATCTCCTGGGTCCCCAGCTTCAGCGAAGAGCACAGTGCTGCTAGAGTCAGCCCTGGTCTCGTCTGAAGTCCTGTGTGGGGATGGGGTCCCTCCCATCCATGTTCACAATATTAGCCTGAAGACTGCCATGATGTTCACAATGTTATGATGCCTGATGGCACAACATTCTGCAGTCAATATGGCAAAAAACTCTGTAGTCCCATGTTCAATTAAAGCAGCATCATTCTCAAGAGTTCACACATATAATCCAGGAAAATTTCCATTTAAGAAGGAATGGATAATGGGACAAATGGACAGAGTTATATTTTAACAGGAAGTATATATGGTTATAGTATAGAGGAAGAAATTCTGGTATCTTGGATAACATGGATGATCCTGGAATAATATCCAAGGATAATATGTCAGGATAAGTATACTCTGCTAAAATACCAAGGCCCAGAAGGCAAATAATATGTGATGCTACGTACATGGAATAAAAAGGATGAACTCACAGAGGCAGAAGTTCAATGGTGAAGACCAACGTCTGTGCTTGGCAGGAACAGAGGAGACGATGGAGCAAGGTCAGAGTTTCAGTCCCACAGGATCCACATGTTGAGGGGTCTACTGTGCAGCATGGTGACAGTAGTTAAGAGAATATAGTGTCTGCAGAATTCCAAGGCCTTAGACAAACAACATTCTACCATGAAAAATGTGGGTTTTGTGATAAACATGTCAGTAAGTCTGACTTCATTATTCCACTCAGTATACACTCATTTATTCAACACATATCATTATACCTCATCAGTCTATATTAAATATTATTTATCAAACATTTATGATAATGAAATGGCAAAATGGGAAATCATGAAGATTCAGATCTCTGAATACTGGTGTTGTGTTGGCCATGTTTTATGGAGATGATAAACAAAGGCAGTGCACTCAAGGCTTGGCAGCTGGAACCCAGGAGCATGGAACTGCATCAGTGTTCCCACCTTGGTGATGGGGCCTCATAACAGATCCATCATCTCCTGTCTTCCAGGGTGCATTGTCAGTACAATTATGGGAAAGTGTGTAAATGGGCTCCGTCCAGCACTCTGATATGCAGCCTGGATGTCTCCCTCTCTAAAAAGATGAAAGACTCCAAATGGATTGATGACCCCAGTCAGCGTAGACATGGAGTGAAGAAAAGGGACTCTGGACACATGGTCTCTGGGACTGACTCTTCCTGCAGCTGTGATCCAGCCTCAGGACACTGATCATCATGCTGGAGCCACAGACACAGCTCCCCATGATGTGGACTCCAGCCCCAGAGTGCACAGCCACTGTGTGTCCCACTTTCTGCTCTGCTGAACCACAGCAGGTGCAGGGAGTCCCACAACACTCAACAGAATCAGATCAGCTAGAAGTGCACACCCAACACGTTCCATTCAGTGATGACCTTGACTGCTGATGTCCAGTGCATTTCCCCTCTGAGTTCATGCAGGGAGCCCCCCAGGAGGATCCCAGGACCTAGAGGATGAGGAAGTCCCTGTAGGCTTCCCAGGTGCCTGCAGAAGCTCAGCCTGAGACACAGCTGAGCTGCAAGTACATTCCTGAGTGCTGTGACGTTCACACAGGGAGCACAGACTGTTCCAGGATTAAAGGTGGCCACATTCTGTGGAAAGTGAGTGTGGATCACCCACAATTTAAAATAAAATGTCAGTTCAGTTCCGCACACAGGCTGTTTTGACAGGAAGAGAGGGAAATAGTTGAGGTTTAACAGACCAGAGACCCTGGCTCAGCTGTCTCCAGGATATAAAGGGAAAAATAAAATTTTCCTAGAGTCAGCAGTGCCCTGAGAACACCAGCACGAGTTAGACTGGAAAAGACTCAAAGGTCCTCACAGATCCCCATGATATCTGATCGCGGTGAGGACAGTTGTCAGTCATGAACCCGAAATTGTCACGTAGGACTTCTTCCTTCTATTCAAAGTTTCTATCCGTCAGTGAAGTCAGTGGCAGGGACAGAATCGTAAGAATAGAACCATTTCCTCAAATGCGTTAGAGGAGAGGAAACCCCAATTCCCTAACAGGAAACCAGGGCTTAATGTCCCTTTGCACCTACCCATTACCAGAATATATATTCAGTGCGTTTTGTGCGCCCCCTGGTGGAGCCGCGCGCCCCTGCAGGGAGGTTTGTGTCTGGGCTCAGCCTGAGGGCCCCTCACTGTGTCTCTTGCACAGAAATAGGTGGCCCTGTCCACGGCTGTCAGACTGTTCATTTGAAGATCCACAGTGTTCTGGGCGTTGTCGCTGGAGATGGTGAATCGGCCATTCACCCAGCTCGCGTAGTATGTTCTACCTTTACCAGCATAAATGGTTCCGATCCACTCCAGCCCCTTCCCTGGAGCCTGGCGGACCCAGCTCATGTAGTAGCTACTGAAGTCGAATCCAGAGGCTTTGCAGGAGAGTGTCAGGGATCCCCCAGGCTGGACCAGGCCTCCCCCGGTCTCCTTCAGCTGCTCCTGACACTGGACACCTGCAAACACAGACGTCCTGGTCAGGAAGCTGTCACTCACACTCTCTGTGTCTCTCACTCACGTCCTCTCCCAGACTCAGTGCCCCGCGTTCTCCGTCATTACCTTTGAGCACAGCGACCAGGAGAAGCCAGCACAGCCCAGTCTCCATGGTGAGCGTCTGTGTTGAGTGCGATCACTGAGTGAACACCTGGGAGTCCTGGGGCTGGAGCTCCTGTGCCAGAGCTGCAGGGTGAGGGCTGGGCAGGTTTTCATGGGCAGAGGGAGGCCCTATTTGCATGTCTGCTCCTATATAGCCAGCCCCGGAGTAGACGTCTCAGACAGGACAGGGCCCAGGGCAGATGTACATGTCCTGGGGGTGTAGGCCATGATAGAATTTGGATCATATGAATTTTTATGTTTTATTGCTTTTTTATAACAGTTGAAGGCAATGACCTTGTTTCCTTTTACTATGTGTGTACCCTTAATATCTAGTGTTAGCAATATCATGTCCTTCATTTTTTAAATAACAATTGTTTCATATCATCTATTGACCTCTCTATCATCTATATGAAAGACATTGGAATAGTGATAGAGAGAAGGGGTGAGAGAAACACAAGTGTAGTGATGGACAGCAAAGATGAAAATGGGAGATTTCTGCCTTTGGATTGACAGCCCCAAACTCCCCAAATGCCTACAACATCTAGGAGTTAGCCTTTCTAAAACCTGGAGCCCAGAACTGCGTCCGTGTTTCCTTTGTCGGTTGTAGGGGCTCTATCGCTATAGCGTCATCTGTAGTTTACCACGATGTGTTATCAGGAAAAAGTGTAGGAAGCCGTGTGGCTCGGCTCAAGAAGCACTCTGATGGGAACACGGGTGTCCCTAGTGGGGACTTTGCCAATTTTGTCCTAATGCCTGCCGCCCATATTTAAACAGATGAAAGACTGCAAGTGGATTCATTTAAGGATACTATGTCTTGTTTCCTTATTCATCCATTACCTTATTTTAAAACTGTTCATTAACTCAGAACACTGTGCATGTTAGTGGGGTGTAGTGTGCTATTGGAATCTGTGTGTTGCAGAAATGGGCTCAGATCAACTCACTGTCATTCACATTTCTACCTCTGTTCCATCACTTTGTGTTGGGAGACCGCGTGTCCTCAGTACTGCTTATTTGTGGAACATGTCGTGGGTTGTAGTGAACTGAGTCAGCCCACTGTGGTGTGGGCAGAATTATTCCTTGCTTTCAGTGGTGCTTTGTGTCCTGGTAGCAGCCGTCTGCTGTTCCCTCTCTTCCCTGTGTCTAGTAATCATGACTCTGAGTTCAGCTCAAGCACTGGGTATGAAGTCACTATGTCACAATTCACCCACAGTCCTGGGTTCAGGTAATGCAGCTGTGTTCACAATAGTTCAGTCTACAATAAAGCGAAATGTGCATAAAACGGTGAATGCAGTCTGTTACATTTGACATGGAATATTATTCAGTGTTAAGAAGGAGATTGTTCTGTCATTAGGAAATCTTAGGTCAGCCTTGAGCATAATATACTAACAGAAATAATGCAGGTACACGTGGACACATAGTATTTGACATTAGTTATATATGCAGTCCACAAGCTTGAACTCACAGAGGTAGGGAGTGCAATGGAGATCACTGTCTACCATGACCCAAGTGTTTGTCCCCTTCCAGCTCTGGGGGAAACTCGGGGAAGTTCCAGGCTCCTGGCTTCAGGCTCAGCCATCCCCAGCCTTTGCAGCCATTCAGGAAGGAAACCAGTGGAAGGAAGATTCTCTCTCCATCTTGGTCTCTTCCTGTCTTGCTATCACACTGCCTTTCAAACTAAATAAATAGATATTAAAATAAATGGAAAATTAATTTTATATATCATTAGGAGCCTATATGCATATGTTGAATAAACACAGAAAACTGAATCCCAAGGGAAGACATCAATTGTTTAAATGCAGTTACTGACAAGGTGGTGACAGGAGCAGCACTGGAGTTAGCAATGGGATTGCTGCTCCCGCATCAGGATGCTGAGTGCTGTGTCCTAGTTTTGTTCCAGTTTCAGATTCCTGCCTAAGCCCACTCTGGGAGGCCGTAGGTGAAGTTCCAAGAACTCCCACGTTGGAGACCTGGAATGAATTCTAAGTACCTGGATGTCACCTGTTCCAGCTGAAGCGTTTGTAGCCACCTGGGAAGTGACCAGGAGTTAGATGATCACTGTCAGTCTCAGTCTTTGTGGTTTTAGATAAAAACGTACATACAAATTTTAAAACAAAATCTATGAATTTTTAAATGTATATTACATCTATAAAATTTAAGAAATGATATAAAAGCAAACATGTAAAATGCCATAAATCTCAGATCATCATGTATGTACATTTTAGAAGCACAATGAGATGTCCCATCCTTCATGTTAGAATGAGTATTACCAGACAAGCCAGAGCTGACAATTCTTGTGAAGGAAGAGAGATGACCACTCTGGTTGCACAAGGCTGGAGTCGGGTAAATTAGTAAATCCACTATGGAAAGTCATCAAAAACTGAGACATACAGTTATCACAGGATCTTCAAACAGCATTTTGGGTAGCAGGAATGTGAAATCCCAGGGAGATGTGCATGGGATTCACAGTCTCTATAGAAAATACAACTGCAGTTCCATGTGCAAGTAAAGCAGCGTCGTTCACGAGTGTTCACACATATAATCCAGTGAAATTTTCATGGAAGAAGGAATCAATAATGGAAGAAAAGGGCATGGAACAGAGGAGACGTTGGAGCAAGGTCAGAGTTTCAGTCCCACAGGATCCACATGTTGAGGGATCTACTGTACAGCATGGTGACAGCAGTTAAGCAAATATTGTGTCTACAGAATTCCAAAACAGAAGACAACTGACATTCTACCATGGGAACATGTGGATTTTGTGATGAGCATGTCAATAGGAGTGACTTCATATTCCACTCAATTTGATACATTCGTTTTACAACAATATCATTGTACCTCATATGTCTATATTCAATTATTATTTATCAAACATTTATGATAATGAAATGGCAAAAATGGCAAATCATGAAGATTCAAATCTCTAAATACTGGTGTTGTGTTTGCCAATGTTTTATGGAGATGATAAACAAAGGCAGTGCACTCAAGGCTTGGCAGCTGGAACCCCGGAGCATGGAACTGCATCAGTGTTCCCACCTTGGTGATGGGGCCTCATAACAGATCCATCATCTGCTGTCTTCCAGGGTGCACTGTCAGTTACAAGTGTGGTTAAGAATGTAAATGTGGGCCAGTGCCGTGGCTCACTAGGCTAATCCGGGTTCTAGTCCCGGTTATGGCGCCGGATTCTGTCCCGGTTGCTCCTCTTCCACTCCAGCTCTCTGATGCGGCCTGAGAAGACAGTGGAGGATGGCCCAACTGCTTGGGCCCTGCACCTGCATGGGAGACCAGGAGGAAGCACTTGGTTTCTGGCTTTGGATCGATGCAGCATGCTGGCCGTAGGGGCCATTTTGGTGGAACCAATGGAACAAAGACTTTTATCTTTGTCTCTCTCTCTCTCCCACTGTCTAAATCTGACTGTCAAAAAAAAAAAAAAAAAAAAAGAACGTAAATACATTCAGTCCAGCACTCTGATATGCAGCCTGGGTGTCTCCCTCTCTAAAACTGATGAAGGATTCCAAATGGATTGATGATTCCAGTCAGCGTAGACATGGAGTGAAGAAAAGGGACTCTGGATACATGGTCTCCGAGACTGGCTCTTCCTGCAGCTGTGATCTAGCCTCAGGATACTGGTCATCATGCTGGAGCCACAGACACAGCTCCCCGTGATGTGGACTCCAGCCCCAGAGTGCACAGCCACTGTGTGTCCCACTTTCTTCTCTCCCTCAACCAAGGCAGGTGCAGGGGGTCCCACGACATGCGACAGAACCAGATTAGCTGGAAGTGCACACTCAACATTTTCCATTCTGTAATGACCTTGACTGCTGATGTCCAGTGCATTTCCCACCTGAGTTCAGGCAGGGAGCCCCCCAGGAGGGTTCCAGGACCTAGAGAATGAGGAAGTCCCTGCAGGCTTCCCAGGTGCCTGCAGAAGCTCAGCCTGAGACACAGCTGAGCTGCAAGTACAGTCCTGAGTGCTGTGACGTTCACACAGGGACCACAGACTGTGTTAGGATTAAATGGTAAATAGAGATTGGGAATAAAGTCTGTGGAAAGGGAGTGTTTATCACCCACAGTGTAAAATGAAAGGTTGGTTTAGTTCAGCACACTCGCTCTTTTTGAAAGGAGAGAGATACTTAAATAGCAGATTTTTAAACCCAAACCCTGGCTCAGCTATCACTGGATAGAAAGGGAAATGTAAAATTGCCCTAAAGTTGGCAGTGCCCTGAGAACGTTGTCCTCTCAGACTGGACAACACTCACGTTGTACACAGATCGTCCCACATCTCTGATCCTGGTGATCCTGGAGACCACTGAGCCTGGATTCGTTCATATAGGACTTCTCCTGTCACATCAAACTTCTCCACGTCAGGGAATCAGTAGCAGGGTCAGAATCATAAAAGAATTCTTCCCTCAAAACTGTTACAGGAGAGGAAACCCCAATTCCCTGACAGGAAACCAGGGCTTCATCTCACTCTGCACCTGTGCATGACCAGAATCTGCGCTCAGTGAGTCTTGTACGCCCCCTGGTGGAGACTCTCGCCCCTGCAGGGAGGTTTCTGTCTGGGCTCAGCTGTCTTGCACAGTAATACAGGGTCGTGTCGCAGCTGTCAGACTGTTCATTTGCAGAGACACCGTGTTCTGGTTGTTCTCTCTGGAGAGAGTGAATCGGCCATTCACCCAGCTCGCGTAGTATGTGCTACCATCACCAGTATAAATGCATCCGATCCACTCCAGCCCCTTCTCTGGAGCCTGGCGGACCCAGCACATCCAGTAGTTGCTACTGATGGTGAATCCAGAGGCTCTGCAGAAGAGTTTCAGAGATTCCCCAGGCGTGACAAGGATCCCCGGGACTCCACCAGCTGCTCCTGACACTGGACACCTGCAAACTCAGACGTCCTGGTCAGGACACTGTCACTCACACTCTCTGTGTCTCTCACTCACGTCCTCTCCCAGACTCAGTGCCCCACGTTCTCCATCATTACCTTTGAGCACAGCGACCAGGAGAAGCCAGCGCAGCCCAGTCTCCATGGTGAGCGTCTGTGTTGAGTGCAATCACTGAGTGGACACCTGGGAGTCCTGGGGCTGGAGCTCCTGTGCCAGAGCTGCAGGGTGAGGGCTGGGCAGGTTTTCATGGGCAGAGGGAGGCCCTATTTGCATGTGCTGCTGCTGTATAGGCAGCCCTGGGGTCAGACGCCTCAGACAGGACGGTGCCCAGGGAAGTTATGAGTGTTCTTGGTGTGTAGGGTGATGGCTATGATAGAATTCAGATCATGTGAATATTTATTTTCTCATTGTTGTTTTAACAGTAGAAGGCAATGACTTCATTTCCTTTTAATATGTGTGTACCCTTAATATCCAGTGTTAGCAATATCATGTTATTCATTTTAAGTAACCATTGGTTCATTATTAACTATGCTAATGACATTGGAACAGTGACAGAGAGAGAATTGGTGAGGGAAACAGAAATGTAGAGATGGACAGTGAATTGACAATGGGATATTTTTGTCTTTGGATTGACAGCTCCACAATACCAAATGCCTACAACTTCTAGGAGTTAGTCTTCCTAAATCCTAGAGCAAAAGACTGGGTCTGTGTTTCCTACGTCAGTGGTAGGAGCTCATTCGCTTGTAGCATCAGGTACAGTTTCCCATGATGCTTTATCATCAAATGGTGGGAAGCCGTGTGGATGAACTGAAGCAGCAGTCATATGGGAACAGGGGTGTCTGTAGTGGGGACTTAGCTAATTTTGTCCTAATTCCTGCTGTCCACTTTTAAACTGATGAAAGAGTACAAGTGGATTCATTTAAAGTTAATTATTTTTGTTTTTCTTTTTTTTTAATGTGGGTTCATACCATGTGATTTTTCTCATTTTATAAGGCTTTATTTAATTTTTTTGATTCAGAATTATTCAGAGAAAGAAGGAGAGGTAGTGAGAAAGGTAGAGAAGTCCTCCATCCACTGGCTCTCTCTCTAGTCGGTAATGTGGTCGGAGCTGCATCGATCTGAATCTAGGAGCCAGGTGCCTCCTCTGGGTTTCCCACAGGATTACAGGAGCTGAAGATGTCAGCCATCTTCTACTGCCTACCCAGGCCACAGCAGAGAGCTGGATTGGAAGTGGAACAGCCAGGACTCCAACTGGCGTCCATATGGGATGCCAGCACTGAAGGCAAAGGCTTTACCCACTTCACCACAGCACTGGCCCTGATGATCTTAATTATATATGGAATCCACAAAAGTGAATCACAGAGGCAGGAAGTACAATGCAGATACCCGAGTCTGGGAGTAGAGAAGAAAAGGGACCACGTTCCTGTAAGCACAGAGAATTTTTCTGTGACCAGAAAGGCACGTGGAGAGATCTACTGCACAGCACGGGGACAATAGTTATGAAGCTTTATTGTGTTTTTTCCAGTTCCTGCAGGAGTAGGCATTTGTCATTCGATCACAAAGAATGGTGGTGTTGCTAGGGAAGGACTTGTGAGTTCGTCTGACTCTAGAATTCCTGATGAAATAAATCCACATCAACACCTTTCCTTATACCTCACATACAGATTCAGGTACTATTTGTCAGTTTAACATTTATGAAATCTATTTTGAAGGGACAATTCTCTGTTGATTTGTCTTGCGTCTGTCTGTGGTTTTATTCTAAGAAGAAAATTACGTGGTCTTGCAATCATTCCTGGTACTAATGCAGTCACGAGGGCTGTGAGTTCATCGGCACGTGAGAGGTTATCTGTTGAGTCCGGCTGGCACAACTGCCCCACCACTGCCCTCTCGAATTCCTCCCCTCCCATGTGTGAAGCTAAGTCATTCATAGATGAGCCCCTGTCTTCACTCAGATCAAGTCCATGGAAATCTCTCTCTGTGCTGTTTAGTTACCCCCCAATCTCCCTGTGTCCAACTGGTTTCACAAGACGTTAGTTCATGGACCACCAAGGCCCACCTGCCAACTCCTTGAAAACACAGCCATCAGAGACCCCAGTCCTGCTTGCCCAGACAAGGCCACCCTCTTCTCACCATGGTGCAGTCCTGCCATTTGTCACCCTGGGGACACAGCGTCTTATACAACTGACAGCCCATCAGCACCTGGTGGGAGAGTCTGTCGTGGTGTTTACACAAATGGAATATGTTTCTGTCAGTTATAATTTGAGTGAATTCTCTTGTTGGGGCAATTTCTTGTGACTGTAGATATCTGACAAATTAAATTTCACATTTCCTAGTGCTGTAGATATGAGGTGTTCTCACAGAACAATGGAATTCACTGTGTCAGATGGTGGATTGTGTCAATGAATTCTCTAGGTGAATGCATGAAAACTGTCCCCAGCTAAATAGAAACACTTTCTGTTTGTCAATCTTCTCTCAGAAAAGGCAGAGATATGTCAACTGTTTTAATTTAGTAGGAATTTTTGTGTCTCTGGATTTACATGGGAGTCACTCAGAACACACATTGCTGCATGAGGTGAGTGACTGGCTGCAGTTTCTGTAAGACTGTTCATGGCAGATCAATTGCAGTTTAGCAGAAAATATCCTGTAAAACACAGGGGATCGCTGCACTGGGCATTTCTGGCTGCAGGAACTTGGTTTGCCCTGGATGAGTATGAACTTGACAGAAGAGGAGTTATTTTCTCTTGGTAAGGATGAAGTACTGATGAGGACATGCAGGGGGAGCCAGGGAGGGAGGAGTGGGGACTCTGGACAGATGGTCCAGGGCTGGCTCATCACACAGCACTGATTCAGCTCACCAGGTGGTCAGCGTGTTGCAGCCCCTGGCACCCAGATCCCAGGGATGGGGACTCTGGCCCCGGAGTCAGGGCCCTGGACTGTCCCCCTCTGCTCACCCTGAAACATCGCAGTGTAGGGGATTCCACCACACTGGAGCAGAAACAGAACCTGTAAGTCCACACCACACACTTTCCAAACAGATTCGTCCTTGAATACAAATGTCCACCTGTGCTTCCCATGAGTTCATGCAATGAGGTCATCTGAAATGTTTCAGGAAACTGAGTGCGGAATTTCTTGGTGTTGGGGAAACTTGAATGCACCTGAAAATAATTCATCATGCTGTCATCTCACACCAGTATCCCAAAAAGAGTGAATAGGATGAAACTCTTAAAGGCAAGACCCGAGACTGTAAAGTTCTAGAGGAAAACACAGGACAAAAGCAAGTTCCCATTGGTTTGGGCAATGATAGTTTGATAATCTCCAAAGTACAGGCAACCAGGATACATAGACAAAGAATAATGGATCCAACTACAGATTCTGAGTAACAAAGAGAAAGATTGAAGAACAAGGATATGATCACCGATGGGGAGAAAGTATTTTCAGATCATAGCCGAGGGGGCCGACTTGCGGCATGCATCACTCAGGAGCATGGGTTCAGATTCTGCTTGCTCTACTTCAAATCCAGCTCCCTGCTGGATCCATACCATGGGAACTCTGTCAACGATGACTCAAGTGTGTGTCCCCTTCAAGCCATGTGGGAAACTGGAGAAAGTTCCAGGCTCTTGGCAGTTAGGCTTGCCCAACCTCACCTTTGCTGCCATATAGGAAGTGAACCAGTGGATGGAAGCTTCTCTCTCCCTCTGTTGGTCTCTTCCTCTCTTGCTATAACACTGACTTTCAAATAAAAAATAGGTTGTTTTAAACATTGAAAGATTAGTTATACATATGATTAGGAGCCTGTTTCCTAATGTTGAATGATCTCAAGCAACTGAATCCCAAGGGAAGAAATCAGTTGTTTAAATGCAGTGATGATAAGGTGGTGACAGGAGCAGCACTGGAGTGAGCCTGTGGGATTCCTGCCTCCCGTGTCAGGATGCTTAGTGCTGTGTCCTAGTTTGGTTCCAGTGTCAGATTCCTGCCTAAGCCCCTCTGGGAAGCCGTGGGTGATGTTCCAAGTACTCCCACGTGGAGCCCTGGACAGAATTCCAAGCACCAGGCTGTTGCCTCACCCAGCTGAAGCTTTTGTAGCCATCGGGGAAGTGACCCAGGAGTTAGAAGATCTCTGTCAGTCTCAGTCTCTTTTTGTTTATGGAAAATATGTAAATACAAATTTTAAAATAAATTAAATAGTATCTTCAAATTTTCAAAGTGCATATGTAAAGGCAAACATCATGCATGTCCATGTTAGAAGCACAGTGAGACATGCCATTCCTCCTGTTAGAATTAATATTATCAGATATATCAGACCTACAAGCCTCATGAAGGAGGAGAGAGAGAGATGTCAACCTTGGTCCAAGGCTGGAGCCAGGTAAATAGGAAAAAACATTATGGAAAAGCATGAAAAACTGGGAAATAGAATTATCACAAGATCTTCAAACAGCATTGCCTATTAGAAGGAATATGAAATCCCAGTGAGGGGTCCACTGATCCGCAGTCACTGTGGAAAACACCTCTGCAGTTCCACGTTGAGTTAATGCAGGGTCATTCACAAGAGTTCACACAATAATCCAATGAAATTTTCATTGAATAAGGAAATCAATAATTGAGGAAATGGACAAAGTTGTATTTTAACAAGAAGTTTATATGGCAGTAAAGTGGAGGGAATTTTGTATTTTGGACAACTTGGATCATCCTGGAGAATAATGTCCAAGGATAATAGGTCAGGATAAGTATACTCTGCTCACCATCCTTACAAGAAGACAAATAATACGTGATGCTAGTTACGTGGGATAAAAAGGATGAACTCACAGAGGCAGGATACAATGGTGAAGACCAAAGTCTGAGTGAGGGAGGAACAGAGGAGACGCTGGAGCAAGGTCAGAGTTTCAGTCTGACAGATCCACACTTTGAATGATCTGTATAGCATGGTGACAGCAGTTAAGAGAATATTGTGTCCACAGAATTCCAAGCAGGAGAAAAATGATACTATACCTGGAAACAAGTGGGATTGTGATGAGCATGTCAATAAGAATGACTTCATAATTCCATTAATACACATTCATTTTTTCAACAGATATCATTGTACCTCTTATGTCCATAATCAAATATTATTTATCAAACATTTATGAAAATCAAAAGAGAAAAATGTCCAAATATGAAGATTCAGATCTCTGAATACTGGTGTTGTGTTTGCCAATGTTTTATGGAGATGATTAATGAAGGCAGTGCACTCAAGGCTTGGCAGCTGGAACCCAGGAGCATGGAACTGCATCAGTGTTCCCACCTTGGTGATGGGGCCTCATAACA